AGCAGAAAAAGCCAGAAGTGGTGCTGTGGCTCAAGTGGTAGAGTGCTAGCCTTGAGCTTAAGAGCTGAGGGACAGCGCCCAGGCCCAGAGTTCAGGCCCCACGACCGGACCCCCTCAAGTAGAAGATCATACTCAGATTGTCTTTGTAGCCTGGTGTCTCTATTCCTGAATAAGGGTAGGAATTCTCCCCTGCCACGAGGTCTACATATGTGTCCAGCACCACACATTATTGGACACTTGGGGGTTCTTACTGCTCTGATCGACATCCTTTAAGATAACTACCATGTTCAAACCTATAATTATTTCTATAGGCTCCATTCCAAGAAATAGAGTTTCTCTGCAAAAAACATTTTTAAGGCAAAGATGCAATTTTAAGGTAACCATGGTAGCATACTATTCTAAGCTAACAGAAGCATACCACTGATGGAATGTTGGGGGAACAAAAAAATGCCAGAAAAAAAAAATGTCAGAGTGTATTAAACTACCAACCATCACTACCATCCTGGTTTACCAGTTGCCATGAGAGTGAAATGCAGTGATCTGTCACTCTGGCCTTGATAACCCAACACTGTAATGATAATAATGCTTCATCCCTTTGAGGCTGTATAGCTCCTCTGTAGGTAATAATGTTCTCCCTATTTTATTGATGCTATAACAGAACCCCAGAGAAATGATGTAACTTGTCCAGTCATGTCGCTGACGCAGACTGCAGACCCAGGCATAGGATAAACACTTCCTGTGCCACCAGCAGTGCCATATCCCAGCACCCTTCAGCATCCACTACAACTCGTTTGCACATGCTGCATTTACAGATCCATAGTCCTCGCAATAACTCAGATGAGGAACCCCAGCCTGGCTTTGTTCCAACCTTCTAGCGGGTGGCTGCCTTGTCCAGAATCCACCCCTCACCCCCCGCCCCCCTCCCCAGCGCCCTAGCCCTGTCTGCAAAGGCCTCCTCCCTCTGGAGAGAGGAGTCTCAGGACAGGACTCAGTGAAGAACTTCTGGAGACAAAAACACTCTCATTCTTCCTCCACTGCTTGGGAGAGAAAACCAGACCCACCAGGCACATATTTTCTCTTTTCTTACTTTCTGTTGCTTTCCATCCCTGCAGTCAGGGTCTGGGTCGTTTGGGGTACTCCCCTGACCACCCACTTTTGAAGCACAGCCCACCCACGCACTCACATCCCAATTTTCTTTTCCTTAATGTCACGGATGTCTGACATACAACGCCTGTGGCTGTTTATCCTAGGATTGAAGCATTGCACTAAAAATAGAAGGTCCCTGAGGGTGTCTACATGGTCACCACTGGGCACATTCCCACTGGTCACTAAATAGTTGTTTTTTGTCACCACATGGCCCAGGCTGACTTTGAACTTAGGATCCACCTGTGTCAGCCTCTCCAGTATTGGGATGATGGATGGACACCGCAATGCCTGTCAGTAGCGGTCTTTGAATTTGACCCTTGGCTGACTGAAGAAGGGGTGGTCATGCTGTCTTCTGTTGGTACCCTTTGGGCCCACAGGTGTCTGAAAACCTCGTGCAGCGAGACGGTGATTTCCTAGTCCGTGACTCCCTGTCCAGCCCCGGAAACTTTGTCCTGACCTGTCAGTGGAAAAACCTTGCTCAGCACTTCAAGATCAACCGGACCATTCTGCGGCTCAGCGAGGCCTATAGCCGCGTGCAGTACCAGTTCGAGATGGAGAGCTTCGACTCCATCCCAGGCCTGGTGCGCTGCTACGTGGGCAACCGACGGCCCATCTCCCAGCAGAGCGGCGCCATCATCTTCCAACCCATCAACAGGACGGTGCCCCTGCGGTGCCTGGAGGAGCGCTACGGCACCTCCCCGAGCCGTGCCTGGGAAGGCGGCGTCCCCGAAGGAAGACTGGACGTGGCCAAAAGGCTAAGTCTCACCATGGGTGGCATCCAGGCCCGAGAGCAGAGCCTGCCCAAGGGAAACCTCCTCAGGTGGGTGAGAGCCTCTTTGGGGGTGTCAGGACTGAGGGGGGAGGGCGAGGCAGCAAGGCTGATGCTAGAGACACAATAAAAGATGGGAGGGTGCCCCGTGAGTGGAATAACTGTCACGTGGCTGTACACAATTATTCCTCAGCCCAGGGGTTCGCGAAGGAGACAGAGGGACACAGAAAAGGGTAAGAGGAGCCCGGAGACAATGGATATGTTGGTCTGGAGACAGTGGGTCCAGAGAAGGGATGGAGAGTGGGCAGAGGCTGTGGGCTCGTGGCCTGTGGCCACGAGTCAGGACTTGAAGACTTGGACTCAGGCTTGGCTCAGATGGATGGGTGGCTGACTCAGGGGTGGTGAGATCTGAAGGTCTGGGATGTGTCGATTGTGGGGAGAGTTGGGGGAGGAGCTGAGGATGGAAAACCAGGGCCTCAGCACAGAGCCAGCTTCCTGGATTTGTGCAGGAGCTGGGCATCCTGTGCCCGCTGGAGAGGGAGGCTAGGATTGGGGAGCGCTGTGGCTCCCAGCTTCTGAACTTCTATACATAAACCAGCACATTTATTCCACTCGCTAGTTTTCTGTCTGGGTCGGGAGGGGGAAAAAGGTCATAAACTGCCATTTCTATACTGCAAAAAAAAATTAGTTTTGCAAAATAGAGGACTGTGTGAGTCACACAAATTACAGCTGTGCTCTCCCCAGCTGTGCTCTAACCCGTGGTACGTGTTAGTCAGCATCTCGGGCTGTGGAGTAGCATGGTTGCCATGCTGGCTCTCCCCTGGCCCATTGTGCAAACCCAAATGAAGGCCTCAACTTCTCTGGGCCTGTTTTTCTTCAGCCAGAAAGCTGAGCTGTGAGGGTTAAATGTGCGCCATGCAGAATACTTCACACAATGCAGATACAATAAGTACTAGGAAAGTGCTAACGATCCTGATTATTATTATCCACATGGGAGGAGAAGGCAGTTATTTAGAAACCCTCTACTTTTTAGTGGAATTGGAGGTGAGATCCCTGAAAACATAAAGGGAGGTTGGGTGCCTGTGGCTACTACTCTGGAGGCTGAGATCTGAGAATCGCCATTCAAAGCCAACCGGAAGGTCCATGAGATTCAATTAACCACCAGAAAACTGGAAGTGGAGCTGTGGCTCAAAGTGGTAGAGTGCTAGCCTTGAGCAAAAAAAGCTCAGGGATAGCGGACCCAGGACCTGAGTTCAAGACCCATGAATACCACCACTGACAACAACAACAACAAAAAAAACAGAAAGGGAAACTTCTAACCTCTTAAGAAGCAGTGGGGGTGTGGCTTGCCCCCAAGGGACAGGGAGTTGATGTCACAGTTGGAGTGAGACTTTATTCATTTAATCATGTTTTGGGAAAGTATTTGTTGTTGTTGTTGCTGTTTTTTTGTGTTTGTTTTGTTGTTGTTTTTTTTGTCTGTTATGGGGCTTGAACTCTGGGCCTGGGTGCTGTCCCTCAGCTCTCCAGCTCAAGGCTAGCAGCACTCTACCGCATGAGCCACAGTGCCACTT